CGGGCCCGGCCCGGGCCCTACCCTACCACCCACGAGCGACGCCCGTCCGGACGGGGCCCGGGTCCCTTACGACGACCGACGGAGGCGGACGGAGGCGGGCGGGGCCCGGGGGCGGGGCCCCGGGGGGCGGGCCTGGAGGCCGCTCACCTCCGTCTCTCTCCGTGCAGGGGGCGCGGAAGGTTCTCGCCGTGGTGCTCGCCGTACTGAAGGGAGGACCCGACTGGGAGAGCGGGGCTGGGGCTGGGTCGGGAGAGGACAGCGGTGCTGCACGTGGGGCGGGCTACTCCGCGCAGAATAACTGCCCCGGCCCCTTCACTGGGCCGCAGCACGGGCCGCAGCCCGGGACCCAAGCCTCCGCTCCCGAAGCTAGTGCTTCGGGTGCTAGTCGGGGCTCTGCGGGGCACCGGGCCAAGCTGAGGCAGGTGACGCCCAGGCGGCACGGGGTCGGCGCCGGGCTGCCTTTTATAGGAAAGTAGAACTATGTGTCTTAGTGGTAAAGCATAAATTATTAAACTTGAATATTTTTTAAAAGCATATGGCAACAGAGCCTCCTTACTTCCCCTCGCTGGCACGCGGTTTCCCCAGGGGCAGACTCTGCAAAGAAGGCAGGTGATGGGGTGTGGCAAGGGCCTGAGCCCCAGCTCCAAGCACGGCCCACTCACAGCCAGCCGACAGCGCGGGGCCTGCGGCAGCCCCGCCAGACCCGTGCTGCAGGGGCAAGCTTCACTGGGTCTTCACCCCAGGTCTGCTGGCACATGCTCCTCCCTTGCGAGTGACACAGACCCTGCCTGCTCCGTGTGTCCCCGGGCACCTGGCACAGGCCTGGCCCTCCTCAGACTGGGAAGCAGAGGCGTTCTCCATGCTGGCACCGTGACTGTCGTCCCCTCTGACACAGACACGTCAGCTTCCTCCCTGAAGGTACAATGTTGCGCTCTGTCCTCTAACTGCATTCAGGGCTGGGAAAGACGTGGGGTGAGGACTGCAGGCCACCAGGTTCTGGCCTTAAATGACTACTAGCTAGCGAGTCCCTCCCTGGCCTTTTCTGAAGCAACTCTCTTCGCCTTGTAATTTTTTGATTATCAGTTTTTTAAGCCACGAACACAGCTGCTCTGGGCTCCAAGCCACAGGTGGATGGTCCCCAGTCCCAGCGTCCCCTCTCCAGCACCCGCGAAGACAGTGTTCTCTGGGGAGGATGAGAGGACGGGCCTCTTGGCTCTCCATCCAGTCTTCGACTTCCTCACTCAGGCCAGGCTTACACTCCCCTTGTGATCTGGGGTCCGCGTTGGCCCTTGTAGCAGGGAAAAGATGAAGGAACTGCCAGCTGAATCCCCTTTTTAAATCTCTCTCCAGTGCCTCCCAACACCGCCCATTTACATGCCGTAACTGCCTGCCCTTGGGAGGGAGGAAGTGTCTTTTGTCTGGTCATTGTCCCCAACACACCAGGGTTCTGTTAGAAAAGAAGCAAGGAAGAATGGATGTTGGGTTGGCAACATGCAGTCCCTGCCTCAGCCATGACTCAGGCAGGAGAGACCACTACTAAAAGCTCAACCAAAGATTTGAGGTTGGGCTGTGGAGAGAAACCCTGTGTGGGGCAGCCTGCGTCAGAACCAGCACCTGCTTGTCGGCACTTCTGGGCCCCCCGCCCGGTGCGCCAGTCCCATCTGCGGCAGGCGGGGTGGGGGAGACCCGGGACTTGTGTCTGTACACATGCTCCCAGTTCTGTAATCTGAAAAACGAATCCTGTGCTCATAGGAAGGGAAGGAAACCCACAGACAAGCAGATAGAGCACATCCCAGTCCCAGCCCTAGGCCGACGACCCTCACAGCCCCCCACCCCATTTTCAGGGGGTCTGAGCCACCTCCCTCCTGGTCAGAGACCCTCTCTGGAGTGATGGTGGGGGAGAAGGGGGAACAGAGGGACTCACGGTGGTTTTGGGGTATCTGACTCAGGGAAGCCAGCTGAAACGGCGTGGAGCAGAATACGGGTGGGCTCAGACCCGGAGGGTCCTCTTCCACTTCACGAGCCCCGTTCACAAACAACAAACGGCACTAGAACCTGGGCCACCTGATCCCAGAAGGGGCTGTCACCTCAACCATGGTTAACTCGTTAGGGCTGTCACCCAGTGTAGTCACCCCCCGGGTGCCTGGGGGACGGCGGGGAAGGGGGCTCATCTCCTAACGCCCGCCTGGCCCTCGGCCACCCGGAACTGCCGTGCACTAACTGATGGCAGAGGGCTCTTGGAATCTGCTCGTTCGATGCCCAGAAAGCAGGCAGCAGCTGATGAGACGGTGCGGTTATCCCGAGAAGGCTGCCGTCCAAGGCCAGGGGCATGACCAGAAGGAGGAGGGCCCTCCCCAGGAGGGAAGGTTGCAGGCCGACCTGGGTGCCCCTTTAATCCAGCCCTGGGCACCGGAGGCTGACCCCAACAGGCCAGCCCACCTGCTCAGCCACTGGAGGGTGCGGCGGGAGGGACGGTGGAGCAGGGAGCCCTTCTGTCCCCTCGCAGCCTCTCCTGGGCTCCCAGCTCTGCGAGCTCCTGTCACCCTGCTCCCCCTGCCCCTCTGTGCCCAGTGGGGACAACATTCTCTGCTCTGTCTGGTCTCTGACCTCTTCCTTGGCCCTGAAAACTCCCAGGTAAAGTCTCTTTGACTGAGTTAAACCCTCTACTGACACAGAAGGAAAAAGCCAAGCCTGATCTCGCAAGACCTTTAGTGGACACGCAGCGTGCGTGAGGCCCCGCCCCACTGCGGCACATCCATGACACCCGGGAAGAGGTAAAAGGTTATAAATATACATCTGAACAGCAGTTATGTACAGAACGCTTCCCCTCAGCAGACCTGTACCATCATGGACGTCACCATGCTGTCAAAGGCCCTGCAGAAAGAAACAGGTCAGTCAGGGAAGCAGCCCTAGCCACCATCCCCTGCCGGCAGAGACGTCAGTCTCCGGGGTCCAGATGAGTAACCTCGGCCGAGGCCAGGCTGTGTCCTGCCACACCAGGCAGTGGGAATCTGAGCCTCCGGCCTCATTCCTGCACGCTTTCCCGTGGTGCTGCCCTGCCTGGGTCTCCAGGCAAGGCTGGGACCCAGGACGAGCCAGTGTCACCGCTGAGGGATGGCGCCACAGGAAGGGCCTGCTGGCTCCAGGGAGCCCCTCGGGAAGTTTCTGGGAACAGAGGGGATTCCGGGAGCAGGGCTGGAGTGTGTGCACGTGAACACTCCTTTGGGAAGCATCCTTGTGAGGCTAAGTCTGTGTTTACCTGAAGGCCGCTGGGAAGATACCTGCAACCTAACTTCCTAAGTGTCCAAGTTCAACATTACAGACAAAATTGGGCTTTCTCCCAAAATGCTCTTGTCCACATGCCTGGGCCCTCACTGGGATCTGGGTAGGCGCCCAAGCACCTGCTGGGTGCACCTGGGAAGCCAGATGGGCGAGCCTTGTCCCTGCCCCGCTCCCCAACTCCCCTCCAGTCTGTTTTACATGTTGGAGACCCGTGCAGGACTGTGTTTGGAAAAACAGGGTCTTGCTGCTTCAGAATGGCCGCCTCAGAAGAACAGCGCCTGCCGCTTGAAGAGGCCTTCCCTCCCCCTCCCCCCTTCAGCAGGGCAGGGCCCGCCCGGGGCGGGGGGCGTCTCCCACCTGGACTGAATGCGGTCCCCCGGGTTGTAGAAGGGGTTGCACATGACATCTGTGTAGGAGTTGTGCAGCTTCCGGAACATCTGAAAACAAGAGCCAGCACCATGCTGTATCCACACGTGCACACGGCTGCTGCCACACACGTGGCCTCTCGGCATTTCAACGCCTGTGACCGCCGGCGCACCGCCCGCCCTGCACTCACGCTGCGGATCTCGTTGTCTCTCAGCGCCGTGTTGGAGGAGTCCACCACCATGACAAACTTGACCTTGGAATTGGTCACGTAGCCGTATCTGCACAGCTGGTTAGGGAACACGCTCCTGACACAGGGACCCGTGGCGGCCCGAAGGCACCTCGCCGTGCAGTGCACACACGCAGAGGGCCATCTGTGCACGTGCCACAGCTCCTGAGCTGCTTTGGAAAAACATGACAACCAGCTGGGTCCATCCGCAGTGCCAGGACCATGCCGGGTGTGTCTGGACACTTCCCTGGGGCAGCTTCTGGTATTTAGTGGAGGAGCAAAGGGCAGCAGCTAAGCCCTATAATGGCTCAAATTGCAGGATGACCTGCCCTCTTTCTGAATCAATTCCTGCCTTGGGAATGTTAACTGCAAAACCAGAGTTTGCATGAATAAGGCAAATCCTAACTAAGGTGCCCAGACCTCTAAAGGCCACTATTTCATGTGGAACAGTGGCTCCCAGGCATACGACACTGGGTGAGTTACGTTACTGCTTGTGGAAACATCTTTGAACTCCATGGGTTTCGGGCCACTTGTCCCAAGAACTGGTCAAAATTTTACAGTGACTCATGGGGCTGGGCCTGATGGTGACATGAATGAACACCACCCCTTACTCAGGAGATGGTGGCCCCTCTGAGAAGACACAGAGAGGAGTCCTCACAGGCATCAAGTGAGAGAGTCCCTAGTTCTTCCACAAACCCAAGGGACAGGTGCAGACTGTCACAGTTCTCCAGGCAATTCAAGCCTGGCTATTCCCACGTTATCCTCCTCATTAAAGAAAAAAAAATGGGAGGTCCTAGCTGGCCTCGAGCTACTCTAACTCCCCACTGGCCAAAAGCCCACATCTTTTTTCTTTTCCAAGTGATGTGCCTAGATGCCTTCCAAGGGGACCTGCTGCTCCAGCGCACCCCCCAACTACAGGCAGAGCCCCCGATGCGAAGCCCTGCAGAGCGGCCACCCACTGCCAGGCGTGAGGATACACCTTGTAGTCCTCCGTGGGGTAGAGCAGGCCCAGGTAGAGCTCCCTCTGATCCACCAGGGCCTTCCCCATCGCAGAGATCTTCTCATCCACCACGTCCAGGGACGTGTGCACCATGTAGTGGAACTTGAGCTCACTCTCTGTGGGGACGCTGCGGATGTAAAGGGGGTAATTCTGCAAGAAAGGGTGACTTGGCTGAAGTGACGGGAGTCCACCCCATGTGCACTGACACAGGACCCTCAGGAGGGAGGACTGGCCGAGCACCCACACGCTCTCACTGCCTAAAACCACCTGCTCAATGCTACAATCTGTCTTCAGAGAACCTGATCTAGTCTGAGGAGGTTCTCGCCCCATCTGCACAGGAGCATCACTGGGGTGGCCAGGAAGAGGATAGCTCTGAAAAGCGGGTCTGAGTGCAGCCTGACCACCAGCCCTGTCGGGTCACTCACCTTCCACAGCAGGGGGGCCGACTCCTAGCACGTGCTCTCCTCCCGCCCCGAAATACTGGCTGGTTCCCAATACCTGAGCTACTACAGTCTTGTCGCCTGGCAGAGGCACTGCCATGCTCCCGCTCTGAACCCTTCAAGGCTCAGCGCAGGCCTCCTTTCATCTCTCCATAGCCATTTCTGACCGACCTAACCCCGGAGTTATGTGTCCTCCCCAGGCTCCCACAGGCCACAATTCACTGCTTCTGGCCCAAGCCTGGTGCCGCCCAGACACAGTGTACAAGACGTTGTCCCTGGCCTAATGGGGATGACATCGGGTGAAGGAGACAGTCCACAAATCCGTCAACTGATGAACAACGTAGCACGTGCTAAGAGAGAAGCCAACAGGCCAAGAACCTGAGGAGAGGACCACTGCAGAAGCCTGGCCTTACAGAAGGCCCGGGAGGACACCAAGGCTTTGTGCAGCGGGAGCGTGTGGATGGCCACGCAACTCAGTCTTAGGCTTCAGAAACAGTTTCCAGAGAAAATGACACGTGTAGTGGCCAGTGAAGGGGATGGGAGTCCGGGAGGAAGGGAGGGGTCCAGCTGAGAGGCCCGGAGGTGAGAGAGCAGCGCCGGCCGGGGGCGGGGTGGCTACCAGTAATTCCGTTGGTTGAGAGGAGGGTGTCAGTGGTATGGGGAGGGGGGTCATTCAGACGTGATCCCACGGCAACGAGAAGCCACTGAAGAGATTTTAGCCAAGGGTGAGCCACGGTCGGACCTCTGGCTGCTGAGCACAGATAAGCCTGTCAGTCGTCCGGGTGGGCGGAGCAGGATGGACAGAAGCTGGGGAGCAAGAACCAACAGAGCCCGCGGACAGACCGCTGGGCGGAGCGGAGGTCGGGACTGAAGGGGAGGATCCGGCCTGTGCCGGCGGCAGGTGCAGGTCTGGGCGGCGCCTCCCGCGGGCCCGCCCCTGGCCTCCTGGGCTCGGCGAAGCCCCCGGGCCCCCTCCGGAGCCCCCGGGGCTGGGAAGGAGAAGGGGAGGGGAGGCGGAGAGCGAGGCTGGCGCCGGAGCGGCCCGCCCGCCCGCGTACGCACCTCCTTGGCGATCACCGCCACGCACACCGCCATCTTGGAAGCCCGGCCGACGCGTCACGTGACGGCAGCGCCGGTCACGCGGCCGGCCAGGCCCCGCCCACCTGTCTGTCTTCCGAGCAGCCCTGACCCCGCCCCTCCTGTCACTCTGCTGGTCCGGCCCCGCCCCGTCGCCCGGCCGGAAGGGCCTCCCACTTCGACGGCCCGGTTCCCGCGGCTCCGGGGCTCGGCGGCGCTCGGCGTGGTTGCCATGGCGGCGGTTGCTGCGGAGACGAGGTGGCAGCTGCTGCTGGTGCTGAGCGCCGCGGGGCTAGGGGTCACGCTTGCCCCGCAGCCGCCCAACATCCTGCTTCTGGTCATGGACGATGTGAGTGCGCGGCGGGCCGGGCCTCCGGAGGGCTGCGATCGGCCAGGGGTGGGGGCGGCCAGGGGTGAGGGCTCGCGCCTGGCCCTGCCGGTCGCAGCCTGGCTCGTGGGTGAAGCCGAAGTGAGCTGGTCGTGTCCAGTGTCCAGCCAGGAGAAGACCCTCGCGCACTGTTCCCCTCCCCGCCCCTCCCGCGCTGGAAGGACGGAAGGGCAGCCCGCCCCTCCCGCGCTGCGATGCTGGCCGGGCGAGGACCAGCTCCCCTGCACCCCGGCGCACCCCTGCTGCCTCCACTGCTGGGGGCTCTGCCTGAAGGCCTCTTCCCTCTGCTCTCGGTCCGCTGCCAGGGCACCCCTTCCACCTGCTCTTCCTGCGCTGTAGTCTTCTTGGTAAACAGGTGTTAGTACATACGGCGCCAGCCTGAGTTCTGTGAGCCGTTCTAGCAAATTATCCAGCTTTGAGGGGACTGTGGGAACCCCGACTTACAGGTGGCCTGGGACACGGGGTGGCATCTGAAGTGGGGTGGTCTTGTGGGGCTGAGCCCTTGACCCGTGGGCTCTGATGTCGGGCCTGGGTACATAGGCTCAGAACAGAGCTGAGTTGCGGAAGTCCCAGCTGGTGCCCGGAGGCTGCAGAAGTGGTTGAGTGGTAACCCTCCCACACTTGGTGTCAGAAGTGCTGTGAGCAAAAATAGCTCGGAATTCCCCAGAAGACCAGCAGAGACACTCAGTAACCTTTGGACCGAGGCCACGAGCCTCACGTGGCTGCTGCTGGGCTGTCCTGGCTGGTCGGAATTGCGAGGTACTGGTACTGATTTCAAAGACCTCGTATGAGGAAAGGACAAAGTATCTCACGTAATACTATTTATTATTCAAATAATTCTTTATCACAAAACATTAACAACATTCAGATGAGCCTGAATAGGCCGTGGAAACCCGCTGGTAATTGCAGCACCCAGGGATGACACAGACGCGCTGTCTTTAGTCAGAGCTTCGTGTGGACGCAGCGGCTTCCGGAGTGGGCTCTGCACCTCCTGTGCCGCCAGCCCGCCCTGACGGCCAGTCCAGAAACTTTGATTCGTAACCAACGACACGTGGTCTTGGGAACGTTTGCTTCCTGTGCTGGTGTTCAGCCTTCTCAAAGTAGAGGTTCCCGGGCAGGAGGGCTACTTAAGTGTTTGAGTCGTGGGCGGCTGCTGGTCAGCTGAGCACCCAGCCTCTCTGATTTCTGCCCCTCCTGCTTCTTTCCGAGGTGACAGTTCATCAGTGAGCTTTCACACTGCAGGTTTGCTGAGGTGGTAATGTTGTGGGTTTACGGGGCTAATTCAAACCCATCGTGTGCCTGCAACCCCCCGTTTCCCTCTGCCCAGTAATTGTTCTGCTCAGGCCCTGAGTGGCAGAGTGTGACCAGCCTTGGGCATGCCTTACTCCAGGGGGCAGACATAGGGGCCCATCCTCCTGCAGGCCTGGGGTTGGGCCCAGAAACCTGGAACAGCGGGCTGGGAGGCCCCCATGCCAGGCCTCTTCTGTACTGGTTCCTCCTTGTGGCTTTGGGACCCTTTGACAGCTGGGGCCCAGGGAAGTCAGGGAGACCACTGTTCTGCTCAGCAAATGATAGGAATTGACTCAAATTGACTTTAGCAAAAGTGGGAACTGCAGCTGTCCTGAGTAGACAGGCTTCCGGCCGCGGGATCTGAAGGTTTCCCCCTCCACCCCCAGCTCTGTGTCCTCACCGAGCCTGTAGCTTCAGGCCAGGCGGGAGGGGCGCTGCCCTGTTGCGGCTCCTCAGTGCGCCCTCAGGCCGAGTGCAGACCCCTGATAGACGCCAGCTCGTGGACTGGGTTTGGAAGACGCTGAGAAGCGTTTCTGAATGAGCTGACTCAGCTCCATGCTCCAAGGCTGATGGGTGATGGGGACGCGGGGCAGAAGCTCCCTCCCTGGCACCCCTGCCTGGCCAGGCCCAAGCACCATCTGTGTCTCAGTTCCTTGCTTGTAAAACCGAGAAGCTGAAGCTGGGCTGCAGGGAGGAGGGAGCCTGCATTCCCACGGTGGGCCTGTCCAGCCAGTGCGTCTGCCCTGGATCTCCAGACCCTTCCATGGTCTTGACAAGGACACACACAGGACCTGCGTTTCTTTCTTATAATCCTTCATAGCAAGACAGTGTCTGCTCTGCTCCCAAGTCCTGAAGTTCCCACTAAGCAGAGGAGAGGCTGAGGGCAGGAAGGAGACCGTAGCCCTGGGCCCAGCTGACCCTCGCTCCTCGTGCACGTGGACGGGGGTCACACGGGGGCCCCCACCCAGGCTGCTGTGGGGGGTGGTCTCGTTGAACCCTGATGACCCTGCAAGGAGGATGCTAGCATCCCTATTTTTATAGGTAAGAAAGCCAGTCGACAAGTAGCAGAATTTGATGGAGGAGAGTAGAGTTAATGCAGCAGGCCAGTGACTGCCGCCTCAGAAAGGCTCACTTGTAAGCAGGGGGGCCCTTGGCCAGCATCTGGGAACTTACATTTGGGGATTGTTCCCTGGCAAGACGGGCTCCCTTTGTCTAAACTGTTTATGTAAACATTAAGATTTATGCTGAGCCCCGCCTTCCTCCTGGGAGGCGGGATCTGGGCGGTGCCCGGCAGACGGTACCCACCTGACTCTCTGCTGCTCCCGCCTGGGATGTGGGAAGAGGACAGCCCCCTGTGCCCGCGGCGGGGTGGAGCCTGCAGCCTCGGTGCCTCCGATCCCTCTTCCTACCCCATCGGCCGCACCTCTTTCCTGTTGTCACCAAATGGAAAAGCCATTTCAGTGACTTCAAAGCAATCCATCTCCAGAGGGACCAGGCAGCTGGAAGGGTCTTTGAGAGCAGACCGCACGGGCCGAGGGCACAGGCCCCAGTCAGCTCTCAGGCCCGCATGTCAGGATGGCCTAACTCTGGGAGACAGCCGAGGGAGACAGCCACGTCCGGGGGTGCTCGGAGGTGGGGCTCCCCGAGAGGGTGCCCCGTGGTCTGCTGGCCGGTGCAGGGGGCGTTCGTAGTCACAGCCAGACCACGGACCCACCTGGGACCCTCCCAGACAAACCTGCGCACGCAGTCCCCACACGTGGCCTGAGCTGCCAGACCCCGTGAGGCCTGGCCAGCGCGTGCAGACTGTGCAGAGTCCGCCCGGGGTCTGCGCAGCCCCTGGGTCAGCGCCTCGGTGTGCGGGGTCAGGTCGGACCTGGGTCCTCACACAGCCGAGACCTGCTGCGGGGAGGCCTGGCCTCCTTGTCCGTCTGTCTCATCTGTGTCTCTCTCTTATAAGGACACTGGTCGTGGGATTTAGGGCCACCCTGCCCGTGTGGCTTCTTCTTTGCCTGCGTTCCCAACTAGAGTTATGTTCGCAGGCTCTGAGTGGACAAACTAGAAGAGGGCACCGTTATTCAGCCTGATCCCGGCTGGACAGCGCAGTGCTGCTGACCGTGGGTCAGTGACGGACACCTGGGGTGTTTGCTGTGGGGCGGCATGGTCGTGCGGTGTGGGCGCTCCCGCGGTGCCTGGGTGCCGTGCGGCCGGCGCTCTAGGCAGTGAGCTCAGAGAGGGGCGGCGGGTCTCACGGCCTCACTGGGTTCGCCTTGTGGGGCCTCACTGCTGTCCTTAACTCTGAACTCGCGCAGTGGAGCCAGACGGCCTCTCTGTGCGGGAGATGCGGCCGTATGTCTGGTGGCCGGTGACCCGGGAGCACCGCCTGGCGGCTTGCCGCGCACTGAGCTCGCGCTCGGGCGCGTGGGGCTCTGCGGCTCCGGCCATGCACTCTCTGCCTCCCGTCCCACCTCTGCGTGCTTCCTCCTGCAGATGGGGTGGGGCGACCTGGGGGTGTATGGAGAGCCTTCCCGAGAGACCCCGAATTTGGATCAGATGGCGGCGGAAGGGATGCTCTTCCCGAACTTCTACACAGCCAACCCCCTGTGCTCGCCATGTAAGTCCGGTTTGGCTCAGGCCACCGGGATGTGGGGACCTGGGAGGGGGGCAGCAGCCCTGACTCGGGTCTCAGCTCCACCGTTTCCTCCAAGTGCTAGAGGCTGGCAGGTGGGTGTGGCCTTTTCCATTGGCCCCTGGCACGCAGGAGCACCAGGCTCCCTGCAGAGGAGTGGGACCATCAGAGGCCACCAAGAGCCTGGAGGCTGTGAGAATTTTTGAGGCAAAAGAGGCCTCCTTGGTGGTGGCTGTTCATTTATGGAGCAGAGTGCCAGGGCTGGTTCAGGAGAGGCGCTTGGCTGGGGAGGTGGTTCTCAGCCTCGGGTGTGGGGGCCTCGCAGGTGGGGAGGTGGAGTGTCCCCCTCCCTCCCGGGAGAATCACTGATCTCAAAGACCAGTTGTAACCCCAGAGTGGCAGCCACGAGAGGGGTCCTGGGCTGTCCCGGGGAGCCAGGGAGAGTAGCAGTGGGGGGCGTGGGAGATGCTGAGCCGCGGGCCATCCCCGTTCCGGGCTGCACGGTCTGTGCGGGGCCGCGTGCCGCCCAGCTGTCCAGAGGCTGCGGGGACTCAGGGCGCTGCAGGGCCAGGGTCCTGATCCCACTCATGTTTCTGTTGGGTCACCGCCGTGTAGCCAGGGCAGCTCTGCTCACCGGACGCCTGCCCATCCGCACCGGCTTCTACACCAGCAACGGGCACGCCAGGAATGGTAGGCGGTGCCCTCGGGCTGACGGAGGGAGGTTGTCAGCTGCTCCCTCGGGTGACCTTGCCTCTCCCGAGCACACTCGTCATGCAGGGGCCACGACTCCGGCTGGGGTGTGACACGCTGTAAAACAGACTACAGGGTTTCCATCGAAACCGTGTATTTCAGTCGAGCAGGGAAGAAGCAGGGGTGGAGCCTGGCTCCCTCCTGGCCCCTTCCGTGTCCCAGGGGTGGGGAGCATGGCCCGAGAGTCCTGGTGCTGACTGGGAGGAGCGGCTGGAGGAGCCCAGGGCGCCCCTGCCCAGGGCTGTGCCCCTTCGCCCGTGTGTGGCTCACATGCTGCGTTGCCCTCCCAGCCTACACGCCGCAGGAGGTGGTGGGTGGCATCCCCGACTCGGAGCACCTGCTGCCAGAGCTGCTGAGGACAGCCGGCTACGCCAGCAAGATTGTGGGCAAATGGTGAGTCCCCTTGCGCCTGGCTGGGCGCATCCATGCAGGCTCCTCGCTGAACACTAACACACTGGGGCCTCTCGGGCAGGAGGTAGAGTCCCTGAACTCCAGGTGCATTGAGACACAAGAGCGTTCCCGTGAAAGCTGGCGTGGCCGTGCCAGCGGGACCTCGCGTCCCAAGGCTGGGGTGTCGGCTGCCACGCCATCAACAAAGGGGCCACGTTACTGCACACATGCCAGCACAGGGCTCTGTCTGGTGGTGAAACAAAGAAGCAGGCAGAGGGTAGAGGACGGCTGTGTGGTGTGGAGTCATCGGGATCAAATGACCACTCTCGTGAAAGATCATGTCACTGCACACAGTGTCGTGCTGTTTCTCAGGAGTATTAAGCGTCTTCTCTTCTACTCCCTGGGCACAGCCCTAGAGGTCAGTGTGAAGGTCAGACGTCCTCTCTTTCCTCTCCCAAGTGGTGGAGCCCTTGGAGACCAGCAAGCCCACTTCCTACAGGAAGTCCTCCTCGACTTTCCAGTCCTGACTGTCTCTCCTTTGCCCGCTCTGCTTCAACCCCTCTCTCCTGAACCCCTCTGGCACTCACCGGCGTGGCCTTCTCAAGGGCGAGCACCTCATCTGTGCCCCCAGGGACCACTGCTCTGCACAGCTGACAGTCACAGCAACAGGGATTCTGCAGGAACCAGGGGAGGAGTCCCAGAGACTCCTGGTGATCTAGAGTCTGCAGAATGAGGACTTCCTCACTCCTGAGCCGGGTTGGGAGCTGTCCTGCCAAGCAGACGAGCTTGGAGGCGGTGGCGGCGGCAGGAGAGCAGGGCTGACCAGACTGCGGGTCGTGGGAGCCTGCGTGGCTCCAGCAGCAGCGGGAAGGCCTGGGGAGATGGTGGCAGGGGCCGGCCACGAGGCCCACCAGAGCCGTGTCAGGGCTGTGCCCACGGAAGGAGGAGCCCCTGTGATGACCGGTGCTCTGCCCGGCCTGGCCTCCTGTTCACGGTCGCTGACTCGGAGCAGCCATAGCAGGACTGGGAGCCTGTCCCCACGATGGGCTCAGAGCAGGGAAGGAGGCGGCAGGGCCTGGAGAAGCAGCCGGCCTGGACTCAGAGAGATGGGCCAGTGCTGGTGGACAGGCCAGGGGCAGGGCTCTGGGAGGCCTGTGGCAGAGGTCTCAGCCTCTCCTCAGCCGGCAGTGGGGGGGCAGGTCTCAGCGGGTCCTGTCCAGGGCCACAGGGGTGTTGGCAGCTGTGGCTGTGACCGCCTGACCTCAGGCCCCGGCACCACGGATCTGGATCTCCTTGGCCTCACCGGGGCCTGGGCTGGCTGAAGCCTAGGCTCCCGTGGGGCTGCCCGAGTCCTGCGGCTCAGTGTGCTGTCCCTCAGCTCGCCTGCGGGCAGCGCTGACCCACGGCTGCTCTGGGACCTGCACTGTGCACTGACGGCAGAACGTGAGCCGGACCTCCGGGGGTTCCTGTCCGCGGAGGCCCAGGAGCATCGTGCACAGCAGGCTGGGGGGCTTGGACTGTGGCCGGAGGGCAGGCACTGTGTGGGGGGCTGGCCGGGAGGCCTCTGTGGACAGGACTCAGGACAGTTTAGGGCCAGCTGAGACCGAGAGAGGCGTCACCAGCACCCAGACTCCGCGGCTGGTTAGTTCAGTTCTGGCCCCGTCCGGCCCGGCCTCCTCTGCTGTCCCGTGCCGCGTCCTCCCTGACTGAGTGACCGAGCAGTGCAAGGTACCCACGGTGACCTGGGTTCGACCTGACCCGGTGCAGAGCCTCCCTGTGCCACGGCAGGACACTGGCTGCAAGAGGCTTTCTGGACACAGCCCCAGGGAACCTTTCTGCTTCTGGCCCTGAACCCCTGTCCCTAAGCTGCACCTTCTCCAGAGGGAGGCTCCTGTTGTCGGGAGGGCCCAGTGTGAGGAGCTGCAGGGAAGGGGCCTGTGGGCGGGAGCATGGGGCAGGGGCTTCCGACAGGGGGCCTGGGTCTCGGGAACAGCTTGGGCTGTCACCCAAGGGGACAGGCACTTTGCCACGTTCTCTTGTTGTCCCTGCATCCCCACTCCTGCCTAGGGCACCTGCGCTCATGGGACCTGACACTGTCCCAGCCTGGGACCCTCAGCCATCGCCCGGGTGGACCGAGCAGGGAGGGGCGCGGTCTCAGGGCACCCGGGCCCAGCACCCTCTGGGCGCGGGCTGCAGGCTTGTCTCCTTCATCATCCTCTGAAGGTGAGGGTGCCCGCGCGGGTAATTGTTCTGGGTTCTTGTTTCTAGGCACCTGGGCCATAGGCCTCAGTTCCACCCCCTGAAACATGGATTTGACGAGTGGTTCGGGTCCCCCAACTGTCACTTTGGCCCTTACGACAACAAGGCCCGGCCCAACATCCCCGTGTACCGGGACTGGGAGATGGTCGGCAGGTAACAGGCTCCCACTACCGCCCCCCCGCGTCCCAGTGCCCGAGCTCTGCCCTGCCGCCCCCTGTCCTGCTGAGAGCGTGACCTCAGCACTCCCAGGAGCCACACCTGCGTGGGTTTCTGAATGGAGCCACGGACACTCAGAACAAGGCGTGTCACTCAGCTTCCGGCTGCGGCCCCGTCAGCCCGCGGCGGTGGGTCGTGTGCCAGGCCGGGGGAGTGGGGGAGCGCTCGGATGGCCAAAGGGGCCTGCCCTTGCTCTGAGGGGCCCTCTGAGGGGCCGAGGCTGCAGGCCCCGCCTGGTCTGGCCCACGGGCAGCTGTGGGTGGGGCCTTGGTCTTTCTTGAGTTTTGTTTGACTTAAGTTCCCTTTCTTTCTTCCTTTTTTTTTATTGTTTTCATTTTGGTGGAAGCTTGTTATAGGTCCGTGGACCACAGAGCCAGGCCAGCCTTGCTGAGCTGTAGCTCGCACAGCACGGCTCCCCCTTCCGGATAGGCAGCCCCGCCTCCTAGCGCCAGCCGCTGCCCCAGTCCTAGAAAGTCCACGGAGAGGCCCCCCGTTGTCAGTTTGTGCCCCTTCCCCGCCGCCTGCCTGTGCCTGCACAGGGGGCCCGTCTGTCCCCCCCGGCATTGGGGTCTCCATGGTGCCAGCCTCAGCCCACCTCGTCCTGGGCAGGCAGTGGCCTCAGGGCCGTGTGTGCTTCCGGTTTGGTTCAGGACAGGAATGCTTCCATCTCTTTCAAACCAGGCCCGTGACTTTGCCTGTGAAGTCGGGGGAGGGGCTTTCCGGCCTCAAAGTCTGATTTCTGTCGGGTCTGTGCTGTTTTCAGATATTACGAAGAATTCCCAATTAACCTGAGGACTGGGGAAGCCAACCTTACCCAGATCTACGTCCAGGTGAGGGCGGCGGTGCTGGGCGGGCTGTAGCGGGGCGGTGGGCCCTGGGCCCAGGAGACACCGTCCTTCTCCGCAGGAGGCGCTGGATTTCATTAAGAGGCAGCAGGCCGCTCGCCGCCCCTTCTTTCTCTACTGGGCCGTCGACGCCACACACGCACCTGTTTACGCCTCCAGGCCCTTCCTGGGCTCCAGCCAGCGTGGGCGGTGAGTCCTTGGCTGCAGGGACCTGGACCCCGGGGCTCGGCTGGGCCGGAGTACCTCCCGGGCAGGGCCCTCGGTACCATTGCAACTTGCGGACAGAGACCGGGCGCTGGCGCCTCTGTGAGGCAGTGGAAGGGGGTCTGAGAACCTGCCTGCGAAGGCCCCGCCTTCGTGGGTCAGCGATCTGCTCCCCCCGGCCCCCACCGAACCCCGGGTCCTCCCCCTCCCCACAGGTACGGGGACGCAGTCCGGGAGATTGACGCCGGCATCGGGAGGGTCCTGCGCCTCCTGCGGGACCTGGGGGTCGCGGAGAACACGTTTGTCTTCTTCACATCTGACAACGGCGCGGCTCTCATCTCCGCACCCAAACAAGGCAGGTGCTGCGAGCAAACCAGGCTCCACCCAGGGCCCTCACACCCTACCCCACCCAGGCCGAGTGTGAGGGGCTCAGCCTGGGGCCAGCCTGGGCCTGGTCGCACAGGAGCCTGGCCCCCATGTCCTGGGGGCACCTCCTCCCTGGCCTTGCTTGGCCCAGGCCTTGTCCCCTCTCCCCAGCTGCCAGGCATCCGGAGGGAGAGCTCAGGGTGCAGGAGGACGCGGCCTTTACCCTGTCCTGGCTCTGCTGTGGACCGGCCCTGGGAGCATGTACTTCCCTGGGCCTCCCCCGTCAGCGCCTCTGTTCTAATCTCAGATGTAACACAGTGGCTGTTCTCCGCGTCTGGACACGCCTGCACCTATTCCTGTGCTGGGGGGGCTCCCTCATTCTCTGGCCGCCAGGCCCACTCCCACCCCTCGGAAGCGCCCTCACCGGGCCTGGGGGGCACGCCCCCACCCCCGCAGTGCTGGCCATGGGGGTCCCCATGCCATGCTCACTCCCAGACCCATCCTGTGTGCCCACGCTGGGCCTACAGGCCCCCAGACCCTGGCCTCCCAGGCCCGTCAGCAAGTCGGGCTTTCCACCGCGTGGAGCGAGGTGGCTGCGCCTGGTCTCGCTGTCCTGTAAGAGTTTCACGTCCCAGTGGTGGCAGGTCTCTTCATCCCTCTCTTCTTGAGAGGCTGGGGCCCTGGCGGGGCCCTGCGCCCCTCAGCTCTGGAAGGAGGGCGGCAGGAAACCCCCGTCCCGCCTGCGTGGGGAGGCCCGGGGGGACCCTGCATCCTCCCAGGGCAGAGGGGCTTCGGGATCTCCAGGGACAGTGACAGTGCTCTGGCCGAGCCTTCCTCCTCTCAGGAACCTTCCTCGGTTCCGGGAGCGACTGGGAGCACGCAGTTAGCCAGGACCAGGGCCGACTGCCCTCCACGCTGCCACGGCATGCTTCCGGGACCCCCTGCTCAGAGTGGGACGTGTCAGGACCCAGGACCTGCTCCCCGGGTGGGACCCAGGGGCCAATGCATTTTACTGGACTCCCCCAGCCCAGGCTCACAGGAGGCACCTGTGCGCAGTGACGTGTAAGTGGCCCGGCACCTGCCAGGCCTGTGGTCGGGACTGTTTCACGGCCGCGCTGAGAGGACTTGTGTCTGTCGCTGACCGTGTGTTCGCGAGCTTGGTTAGTGTGCCGTCGCTCTCCACGGGGCTCGACCTTACAACCGCAGCTCCAGGGCATTTGCCTGGCGAGCCAGCCCCACGTGTTGTGAACTTGAACTTGAGGCCTGACTCAGGCTGGTCCTTCATCTCCATGACGGTCTCGGTGCCTCAGAATTCCAGCAGCCCCACCTCTGATGGGCCGAGCAGGGAGCCAGGTGGACAGACATGTCCCGAGGGTGAGTGCCCGGCAGGGCACCTGTGGCCCTGGAGCCTCGGGTCACGGTCTGAGGGGCAGCTCTTCCTCCCCAGGTGGCAGCAATGGGCCCTTCCTGTGTGGGAAGCAGACCACGTTTGAAGGCGGAATGAGGGAGCCTGCGATCGCGTGGTGGCCTGGCCGCATCCCTGCTGGCCAGGTGAGTCAGAGGCCGGCCTCGTGCCAAGCCTGCGGTCCTCCTGCGGTGCGAAGACTTGGCCCACTTGCTGGCCAGCTCCGTGTCCAGGCAACACTGAGGCCAGAAGCCCGCTCCCCTCCACATGGGCCCCTCTCAGTCCCCTCATCCCCGTGGACAGCCGTGGGCCATGAGAGCTCCATCAGGGGAGGAGGCATCCTGGCCAGCCTCGGGGCTGTCTGGAGCCAGGCGGAGCTGAACGGGCTTGTTCCCTGCAGGGCCTGTCAGGGCCTTGGGTGTGCTCACAGGCACCGGAACCCTGGCGAGGGTGCAGAACCTCTCTTGGCAGTGTGTCTCCCCAGACCACTGCTCGGGACACCCCCAGAGACAGCCTGCTGCGTCCCCACCGCCCTCCCCTCCTCATAGCCCCTCGCTCTGCCCACCCTTGGCCTCGGCCTTCCCTAACCGGGAGCCTGGGTTCTGACCCAAGGCAGGTGTTTGTAAAAGCGCGTGTCACCTTTCTCCCCCGACAAGCTTCCCCGAGAGCCCTGTTCTCAGCACTGGTGTCGGCTCAGTCTCACGGCAGCAGCTCTAGGAAAGGTGTCTGCGTGTCCTGTCGCTGCTGAGACAGTCCCCACGCTCAGTGGCCAGAACAGCACCCTCACCCTCTCAGTCGGGAGGTCGGAGTCCAGCTGGGCCTCACGGGCGGAAGCCCAGGTGTCACAGTCCGGTCCCTCCTGGAGGCTCCAGGGGAGAGTCGTTGAGAGTCGTTTCCTCGTCTTTTCCGGCTTCTGGGCTTGTGGCCCCTTCCTCCATCGCCCAGGGCGGCTGTGGCCAGTCAGGTGTCACCCCGTCACTCTGACTCTGCCCTCCTGCCCCCCCCACTGTTGGGACCCTGGGGTGACACTGGGCCTGCCTGGGGATCCAGGCTCCACGCCCTGTTCTAAGTCAGCTGGTTGGCGGCCTGGAGCCCCCTTTGCTGTGTGAGGAAATGTCCCCAGGCTTGGGGTGTGGATTCTACTGCAGGGGTGTTGTTTTGCCAGCCATCATCACGTTCCCTCCCCACCACCGTCACCACCGTCACCACCACCATCACCATCCCACCTGCTAACCAGCTGAGGCCCCGTGAGAGGAGGGCACATTGGGCCTACCTGCTGGCAGGCAGCAGGTCTAGGAGCTGAGCCTGGGGAGGCCCTCCTCCTCTGCCGCAGCCTCTCCCTCCTGGGACGGTCCCCACGGGACCCTCTCCCCGTCCCCTCTGCCCGTGGGAATCACTGTCTGCCCTCGCCTGCCTGGCTCCCGGCCACCGTGGGCCCTCCCTGCTCCGCCCTCTGCCACGTCCCTGGGGTGCGGGCCTGCGCCCTGTGGAACGGCAGGGGTCTCACTGAGATCACCTGACGTTCATCCTCCCAGCTTCAGGTTCTCAGCGCCCCCTGCACGCCCGGCTGGCGACTTCGTCATCCGTGGCTTTTGATTCAGAGCTGAATCTTGAAGGTGCTGCTGACAGCCTCCGGACTTGCTGCCGCGAGCCCACGGCAGATGGGCTGCGTTTCCTTGAACACACGTTTCCTTGATCAAGGGCTTCTGTGTTTCACACGGGGCCGCTTCCCTGAGCCTCCCGGCTGCTCCGCGCCGGCTCGAGCACGTCAGCTGTGCCCACTTCCCGCGCTGCTCCTTACTTGTTGTGCCAGACGCTGAAAGTAGCTGGAATTATTTTCTTTTGGTCTACAAAAAAGAAGGCAGGAAGGGAGGGAAGCCCCCAGAAGGCAGGGCTGCGGTCACCGTGTCTCACTCCTCCCCCTGCGGAGGCCCCACGGAGCGTGTGACCCACACGCCGAGCTCCGTGCCCTCACTGGACTGCAGGACCAGACGCTGCCGGTGGGCTCGGTCTCCCTGCGGGGTGTCTCCTCGTGGAGGGTCCCCCTGGCTTGGGAAGTGCCAGGCCGTGGGGGTCGACGAGGTCCTGGCTGACGAGGTCGGGCCACCCCCGAGACCCTGACCAGGCCGGGCCTCCCGTGGGTCCCTGGTCGCCGTCGC